TTAATAAAATAATGGAATATAGAGCTGAAGCTCGTACACTAACCAGCCACTTACCAGGCATACTTATTTAACTCGGCAGCAGCTCGGAGCGTTTAGGCACGGACACGCCGACCTGCTGGAGTTCAAACCGAGCTTCAGAATGAGGAAGGAAAAGGGATTAAGTGACTGAACGTGGCTGCTGATATACTGGGATTTTGCCACACAAGCATCTCTAGGGTTTATGGAAAGGGTGTCAAACATAAGGCCCAGGCGCCAAAATAGGCTCAGCAAGGACTCCAACCTGCCTCAATGGACTGCTTTGAAAAATGTTAAGGAGGGGATAATTATTATATAAAAGACATGATAAAGACCAGCCTTATGTCCTTTTATACTACACCAAAGTAATTACCAGATAAACATTTAAATGACAGTGAAAAATCAGGAACTTTTCTATCAACCATATTTAGAGATAGAAATACATACAGTGCTGTGCAAAAGTTTTAGGCACCTGTGGGAAAAAATGCTGTAAACAAAGAACACTTTCAGAAATATGACTGTTTATTGGCCCTAAATAAAAATATTCTGCAGCAGGACAACAAACTCAAACACACGGCCAAAGTCATTAGGAACTATCTTCAGCGTAAAGAAGAACAAGAAGTACTGGAAGTGATGGTATGGCCCCACAGAGCCCTGATCTCAACATCATCGCGTGTGTCTTGGATTAGATGAAGAGACCGAAGGATGCTACATCCACCGAAGATCTGTGGTTAGTTCTTCAAGATGTTTGGAACAACCTATCAACCGATTTCTTTCAAAAACAGTGTGCAAGTAGAAGAATTGATGCTATTTTGAAGGCAAAGGGTGGTCACACCAAATATTGACTCGACTTACATTTCTCTTTTGTTCATTCACTGCATTTTGTTGATTGGTGAAAATAAATGATTAACACTTCCATTTTGGAAAGCATTGTTTGTTTACAGCATTTTTTCCTCACCTGCCTAATGAGTGTGAGTTCACAGTGACTGTGTCAAGCTCTAAAAACTGTCCAACATGGAAAAAATCCCAAAAATGTAACAAAATTGGATGTTTGCTTGGAAGTTCCACTGAGATAAAGATCTACACAAATTACATTAGAACTGACATTAGAACCACACGCAAGCTTTAGGCATTCATCACAATATACAAAATCAGCAGCAGGGGTTTCTCAGTAAAAACACCTGCATGCTTCCTGCAGCACATTTTTTTATGTGCTTCTAAATTTAGCAGCAGGAATGTTGACACAATGGTCCTTTTCCTTTTAACTGGTTTGCCTCCACACGCTGCAAGGAAAAACATTTTTATGTCTTGGATAAATGGCAAAATAACACACCGAATTATTCCGGCAACACTTTCCTTTGGAATTTTTGACCTGCTTGCTCAGTTCCTCATGGGAAAAGTTTATCAGGATATCAGGATGGGACTTTTCAGTCACTTTGGCGCTCTCAAATCTCATCAATGACTGATCGCCTTTGCTGCCTGTCTACAATATGGTCAATACTGGCCATATCTGTCACTGCCTGTGTGCTGTGTTCTATGTGCTCTATATTCAGAGACTAGGTATTGTGTTGTGTTGAACCATTTGTTGTAATATTTTTAAAAAATGTAACAAAAACTTCCATTCATCCATTTTCTTCTGCTTATGCAGGGTCGGGTTGTGGGGGCAGTAGCCTAAGCAGAGAAGTCCAGACCTTGCCACTTCCCCTTGCTTGTCCGAGGGGAACCCCGAGGTGTTCCCAGGCCAGCCGAGAGATATAATCTCGCCATAGGGACTTGGCCAGAACACCTCGCCCAGGAGGCATCCTTGTCAGATGCACCTTAACTGGCTCCTTTTGATGTGGAGGAATAGTGGCTCTAGTCTAAGCGAGAGGCAATCTTGTTCTTTCTGTCACTACCCAGAGCTCCTGATCATAGGTGAGAGTAAGTACATATATCCACTGGTAAATTGGGAGCTTTGCTCTATAAAGTTAATAGAGATTAAAACATACATGCACGAACCCTCCTTGTAGTTTAAACAGGACTGATGCTGGAAGTTCTCAGGTGTTTTGTTAATCAGGGTCTACCTGTGTGAACTTTTAACCTCTGCCTGTGATTGGTTCAGGTTGTCTGTTTGTTAGAGTGATTCCAAAGGTTTTCATGGAGGACTTTTTATTATTATTATTAATCCTTTACTCGCTGTGTGATCGGGGAAAAATGGACAATAGCGGACTTTTGTCTACCCAAGAAAGCACCACAAACTAAAAATCCAGTGTAGGTATGCGGTCTTGTATTGTGATTGTAATTGAATAAGTTTTGCTGTGACGGCCCCTCTTTAGTGTGCACACACCCTGGCTATCATTCAGCGTTCCTCCTTCGGCTCACTTTCTTTGAGGAGAGTGCGAGAAGCTCTAAAAGGAAAAGGCACAGTGCTAAAATCTCATTTATGGTGTTAATTTGATCAGCTATCTGTCAGCTCACAAGTTGCCAGTATCAGTGCCTGTGCATTGCCTGATAATTTTGCCTCTACTAAAGCAGCTCTCTGGCCCTGCTATGTGCGATATTTTTTTTTTCCCATAGAAGCGAGATGCCTGAAATAGCTCTGATTGACAGGTATAGAGACACAGTTACTATAACAACTACCTCCTGGCTCTTATGAGCACTTCTCTTCCTCTCAACCACCACCGCCATCATCCCTCCCCCCTCACCTCTTCTCTTTTCATTTTCTTTTACCACCTCTCCTTTTTTACCCCCCCCCCTCCCCAATCTTCCTCTCACCACCCTCCCCCCTCCACTATGTGCATGTGTGGGTGTAGAGGGAAGAGATTATGAAAAAAAAAGATGAACTCCACTGCAATATTTCCTTCACATGGAGATGTTTGTGTTGCAAGATAGAGGCCTGGCACCAGCTATTGGATCTAACCTGTGTGGGTGAGGGTAGGCGAGAGTGGGAAGATGAAACATGCTTATACAACACGGGCAAATAAGCCTTTTATATTCTTTTCGTGTTTCCTTTTCGGTGCCTGTTCCTCTGTCAGGTTGAGCCGCTCTGCTTGTATAATCAAGTCAGTCCAGCGTGCTCTGTGTTCCTGCATGCGGTATATATATGTGTGTGTGTGTGTGTCGGTGGGTCTGTTTGCATGCGTGCACGCAATTTGTGTCAGCGAGCGGCACAGTGAGGCCACCCGATATGATGAGTGAATTTCAAGCATGATAGGATCTAGTGGGACTGCCAACAGAGAGCGCACAGAGAAAGTAGGTGTGTGTGTGTGTGTGTGTGTGTGTGTGTGTGTGTGTGCGCGCGCGCACTGCTGGGAAGAAGACGGACGTCATTGCTACCACCTGCTTCTGTGGGACAAAGGCCAGACGCATACACAGACATTTGCATATGCAGACAGCCAAGCAGAGGTCAAACCAATCTCTTAACATAGCATTAATGATATGATTTACTTAGCCCCCACATCCAACCACCTCCACCCACTTGCCCCCCCCCACCACCACCACCCTGTCTTCACCCTCCCTCCCCCAACCCCCTGTCCCTGCCTCTCCTTTCATCTCCCCGTCTCTGAGTCATCACACAGGGTGAGAGGTCTGAGGAAAACAAGCTGCCAGAGTTGGACATGCCATAACAATGCAGCACCTGTCAGTGTGTGTGTGTGTGTGTGTGTGTGTGTGTGTATGTGAGTACATGTGCATGCTGCTGTCTCAGAGCGTCTGTCATCAGGAGAAGGCAGGGAACATTTCCAAGTGCTACTGTAAATACAAAGACACTGTGCCCTGTCTGTGCTTGTATGTGTGTTTGTGTGTTTGTGTGTGTGTCTGCGTGCGCGTGTGTTCTCACCACTGTGGCTTTCTCCAGAAGTTGCTCTGTCGCCCTATTGATTGGCTGTCTCACTTTGTGGCAGGAAATGAGACGGCGGCTGCCACTCAGCACCTGTGTGACCCCCCCACCCATCCACAGAGAGCTCCTCTAATGATCTGAGCTCAGCTGCCTGGGTCTTGCACTGCAACCGCTTCCTCACCGGCTCACAGGCTCAGACCTGATCAGTGGCGCACCCATCAGCGTCTCACAATCGTGCACACATCAGACAGGTACTCCTGAAAAATATGTGTGTGCGTGTTTCAAATAATGAGAGCACCTGTAGAGGTCTCTCCTCTGCAGAAGTTGATGATTTGGAAGAAGTGAGCTGTGCATCAGGTTGTGCTTTTGTGCGGATCCATTGCACTGAACTGACCGGCTGAACTGATGTAAACTCGTGCTGATGCTGTCAGCTCGGTGGCAAATTTGAGCCGATTTTTCTGCAGCGTTGACACGAAGGCGAATAATTCAGAATTAATTAGGCTATGACACACAAGAGGAAGGGGGGGTGGGGGTGCAACCCATAATAAGACATTTAAAACAGGATGGGATCTGGTATCCAAGTGCAGGGTATCCATAGAGACCGTTGCTATGGCGGAGAGAAATCTCACCTCATTAGGAACAAATATAAATAGCCTTGCGACTCAGCTTATGGTCATGATGGCCACGGTTGAAAGAACAGGCTCTGAGGCTCCCGGGTCAGCAATGCAGGCTGGAGAGTTAAGTGGAAGACAGAGAGATGGATAAAGGGAGTAATTCAGAGAATTAGAAGGAAGGAAGATGGTTCATAAAGGGGAGAGAATAGATTGGGTGCCTCATGGTGGGAGGCAAAGAAAGGGAGGAGGAGGAGGTGGAAGGGAAGAAGACAGATGCGTAAAAAAATGGAGACAGAAAGCAAGTTTGTCAGTAGCATCTGAGGAAAATCTCCCAAAGGTCAACCTGTTTGCTTGTTTCTATCTTCAGGAAGCTTTTTAAAAAAAGCCAAATAAGTAAAATCTGCATTCACATCCACTGAACTTTGGATTTAAATAAAAGTACAAGACAATCCAGATACAAAGTGCAAAAGAAAGCGTGACTAAAATAGCATAATGAGACGGTGTGAGAGACTTTTTTTCTTCTTCTCTTCTCAGCAACACATGAGCGATGGAGGAGGGGAGGAGGTGGGAGTCGTGGGAGGAAAAGTTGGGAGTGGGAGAGAGGTTGACAGCCGAGAGTCGAGGAGACTGATGGCAGCAAAGTGAAAAGTGGAGACGTCCTAGCACAGATTGCATCAACAGGTCTGAGCCCCTCCAGGTATGCTGCAGTGCGCCGCAGTGTTACTACAGTATTGACTCATCCCTGAACGTCCGGAGATTCTCTGCGTGGACTTCATGCTTCTCACTTCCTGTGTTTTACTTTCTCTTTCGCTTCTTTTGCAGCCTGCGGTCTCATGCTGTCTGCATGCATGCGTGCAGAAAGCATGTATGTGTGTGTGTGATTTAAGTGCATATCCATTGTGTTTTGTCATCAAGCCTCAGTTAGCAGCTGAAAGTCTGCTTAGTGGCATGAGACCAATGTGGTTCCTCTGCGTCCCTGACCTGTGTAAAATGCACCCGCTCATTATTCGTTCACATCAGATATCCAACTGTGCCCCCCCCCCCCCCTTGTTTGTAATCATAATTATTGCACTGTAAGTGCATCCCACCCCACCCCACGCCCTCCACATATCTGCCGTCTCATGCTTAATTGCTTTCAAACCTCTTCAAAATGTGCCAGATTATATTAAATCTTGCGGCAAAAATCAGCAGAGATCCATCTGCATGGTGAATGCCATCGCACCGCTTGAGTAAATTTAGCAAATTTCAAGCAAACTGATGGGTCAATTAAGGCAGGAGAAGCAGAGAGAGAGAGAGAAAGAGACTCCCTCCTCTAAGATGCAAATAAACCTTAAAAGCTCGTCGCGGCTTCCTGTTCTTCAAAGCTAAATGGTTTTTCCTCTGCCTTTTGTTGTGAACAGTGTGTTTTCAACTCGGGAACAAAGGTGTCTGCGACTGAAAGATGAAAACTGCGACAGCTGATGAAGATGGTACAGAGTTCAGACGCACGTTTGTGTGGGCCGTCTAATTGAGGGGATTGTTTGATTCCTCTCCCCTCTGTGTTTCTCTCTCTGAAGGCCTGTCAAACTCGCACTCGGCGGAAGAAGAAGGAAAAAGAAAGAAAGAAGAAGAAAACACAACAACGCGTATGGAAGGACCGGAGGAGCAGAGGAGGGAACGAGAGTGGCGATGGAAAGACGGCATTTAGGAAGAAAAAAGGAGGGAGTTTACGCCCACCGCCTGAAGAGATGAGAAGACAGGCAGAAGAGGAGGGGAGGGGGGGTGAAGGAAGCAGCAGTGTGAGTGTGTGTGAGTGTGTGTGAGTGCCATAGCCCATCAGCCTGTCAAACATCCGTTACAGACCGCAAACCCACACAGCCATTGTGCTGCTGAGGTCTATCACTTAACAGGTGCACCTTCTTCACCCTCACACATCGTCTTATGATACAATATATACGCATTTGCGTCCGTGTGTGTGTGTAAAGGTGTGCGTGTGTAGGTGGCCACATTTACGCAAGTTTGAGCTTCGTTCACTGAGCTCAGCCCATCCTGGATGATTTCCGTGTAAGCGGTGATCCACAGTGAGTCACGCTCATTGATCAGAAAATAGTAATAAAAAAAAACAGCCGGGTGGATTCTTCTCCCGAGCTCCTTCTCCTCTCCCTCTCTGCCCAACCCACGTTTGAACCCTCATTGTTCCTCGCCGTGCTCACAGTTTTATAATTCTGACTGCTGACGCACCGCATCTAAATTCATCACCCACTTACCCAAAGGTGTTACAGCATTGATTTCAGCACTTTTTAGTGTTTTTTTTATTTTATTTTTCTTTACCTCAAATACCCTCAGAAATAGGTACAGTTTAGATCAGAGGATATTACATAACAGAGAGAACACAGGAGCCCCCTTTAAATAAGGTTAATGTTCTTCTTCTCTGTTGTGTGTGGGCGATAAAAAGCAGCATGTGATATCTCTAATTAGAATACTCGATCATTGTGAAATCGGCGAATCGCACCCCTGAAACCTCCAAACCTGTAATCCATATGCTCGGATATATTTGCAGTCTCCGCTTATGATGCACATCAGGCGTCCTACCAATGAGAATAGTCATATCTGTGTTACTAATGTGAACCCTGTTGTGATGCAAAATAGTGAGTCTTGCTATTTAAAAAAATGCAACCTTTTCAGAGGACCTCTTGTCACTTTTTACCATTTGAGATGAGAAAATGATCTATGTAGGCATGCATTGGTTGTTATAGTTAGAATGTTTACATATGCACAGCTATGTTGGGTCACTTTCTCTGCAACACAAAAACTTCCAGGTTTCATGTGATGTCTTATCCATAATTTAAGAGATCTGTCTGTCCATCTCAGCAGCCATCCATCCCGTCCACTTTAGACTTGACAGGTGTGTTACCGGGTACCTGAGTGAGTACACTGCCGAAGTTTGAGTTGGTTTGGATGAGCAGGCCTCAGATTTTTTTTGGCCTGAGGTTGTTTTCTGACACAGTTTTCTGACACAGACCTCATACACTGAGGCTTGTTATGTGTTGACGTTCTCTTAAACCTCCTAACAAACCTCTTAATCAAAAGGTTTAACCACCAAGATAACATCTCAAACCCTCAGAACCACAAACTGAACCCATATTTAAGTTTAACGCTAAATCCAACCTTCAATTAAGTGTTTAAAAAAGTCTTAGATTCTCAGCCTGATGATCTGAACCTTGAATTGATTTTCTTGTGACAAATGTCTTCTATTACTCACTGCTGCTCTCAGGAAAGCTGCTTCCCACACTCTGCCTATTCTCCAACATCGCACACACATTCTGAGAGTCCTTATCTGCTTATTAAGTGATAACATAGGATCCCTGTTTCCAGGCGTCTACTGTGTTGACCTCAACACCTCAAAGAGCATCAGTGGCCATTCTCGGCCTCTCCGTCTTCTCTATTAGCGCTGTTTATGTGCAGCACGTCTTTAAGCAAAGTTTTTTTGTATGTTTTTTTACGGTATAAGTAGAGCCCCGGGGCTCGCAGTGTCCCAGACACAAAATATTTGGACACGTCAGAAGAGAAACTTGTACTTGAACAATTTAAACCTTGTCCAACATTTTTCCTTTCTAAGGCGTTTACATTAGCTTAACAATAGCTCTGAAGCTAGCCAGCAGTTAGCAGATCTTTATAGGTCAACTAACCCTCCACACATCACTACTGTTTAGTTGTTTACATCCAAAGTTACAGCAGAGCTGTCCGTTTTAGTTTTTTAAACATACTGCAATCAGCACATGGTTTATCATCTTTAGATGGAAACTAGCTAGCTAACTTCCTGCTAACATCGAACTCAGCTAAACCTTGTAAATGCTCATTTTCACAGATGCCTGGATGTTTAAACCTTTTTAAAATAGCCAGATTGATCATTTTACCGAAGTTTAAAGAATGTGGACCATTTTTAACTTTCAGCATTGCCTCAGTTTTTGTTACTTTTGAGAAGTGAAGGAACGATTAGCATTAGAAACGCTAATGTCAGACTTAACAAGCAGATAGCTGTTGTCTTTGCAAAAACCACACCTTTGTGATCGCTCACAGAGTGTACGAATGAAAAGCGAAGTCTGTGCAGAACTGCATTCATTCTCATGACCAGCAAGGGACGAGCTCTCTGCTTTCAAAGAGATCTGTTTGTGTTAAAGACTATGGTCAAATTACCCTCTTGACTCCTGCGCTCAGCAAACACTTTATAAGTATGCATTGTTTCTCAGCCGGATCCACCAGTGTGATGGCAGGACTGAGGGACTTTCTAAACTAATGCGTGACATCATGGTGGCTATGTCCATCCTTTGCATACAGTCTATGTGTTTTATTCCATGTGTAAAAGCTGCAAAAACATGATTGAATTTTCCGCAAACATGGAAAATACTTTTACTGCAATTATTGTGCTGATTATTCAAATACTGCAAAAACAGAAAGCATAGTATATGTACATGGTAAGAAGACATTTATTCAATCTAAATGTAGTAAATATAGTTTATTTTGCTGTAATGCATACTATCATTATTCATCTGCAGAATGTATCTTTATTTTTATCTCATCTTTATAATGTGGACAGTTTGCAGGGTTTGAATCAGTAAGCCTCCACTCAGCAGGTTTGCCTCATTTGGAAACAGGAGCTGGTGGTGTGCTGCAAAGCATCCTGATGATCATTACTCTTACCCTGAGCCATAGTTCACATGAAAACGAAATCATGAAAATTATGTTGTCTTGATTAGAATGAATGAGCCCTTAAAGAAAAGCCGCATCCCACTGAGGTTGGGAAGCAAAAGGAGAGGAGGTCTATTTTTCTGTTTCTTGTCTGTGGATGTCTAGTCGCACGGCCACATGCTCCATCATAGTTTAAATATTCATAGGCTGCCAGCTGAATATTCATGAGGCCCCTATTAATATTTATGAGCTTCACTTGTTGAGGTGTCACTCGATCTCTTGTACACACATGCACACACAGACATTTACGCACACTGACAATCAAAGGATATGACTTTATCTACATGGGTACATTCATAAGCACTGGTTGCTCTTATCATGTGACGCAATGGTTAAAAAAAAGAAAAAAGAAGAAGCCATGGCCTCCTATTTGTAGTAGCCAAAGCTTTATAAAACTCTGCTTACTAGGTAACAAGAAGAGCTCGACTTTCTGGGCAATAAATGTGAACTCTTATAAAGTTAGAGCTCATTGAGGCTTTAAGATGGGAAACCGGCTGTGTCTGAACCTGCAGATATCTACCTAGCAGCACTTCTGAGAATCACTAATTAACACTGTTTAAATTAATCATGAAATCAGTACGAAAACAGAAGTGTAAAAGCAACAATTCACTGCTTAACACGTATATTGTGCAATAGGCAAAAAGCTGAGATTTAGGAAGAAAAGTTCAAACACCAACCCTGCAACATGTAGGATGGTTTTCTATTTATATATATAGTTTCTGTTCTGTGGCAGGGCTGGCAAACATATGGACTGGGGACCAGAGCCGGCCCGCCAAAGATTTAAATCTGGTCCCTTACAGTAGATAGAAGGCTTTGGAAAATATGAAAATTTGAAAGGAGAGCAAAAGATGTCAGAGCTTTAATTGTTTTACAATCATCATGCTGACAAAAGAATCATAAAAACCAACATCAAACACCAAAGTGTAATACAAACCATTCAGTCACAGAAAATACGACTTTTTTAAAAAACTGGTTGTTGTGCTCACAACCTTTTCTTGATGATGATTGCGCTGTTTTCTAAAAACGGGTGCTGTCGGTTCATTTCAATAGCAAGCTCAAAAAATAAGGCATACCTTTACCTGCAGTTAGCAGTAAGTTGCGTGTCACAAATTTTTGTTAATTGGTGTGCGCGTTTGATTTAAATATTCTCCTCCCTATAGTTTGCCTATGGAGAAGGGAACTCCCACTTCTTACATGTAGTCTTGTCACTGTGCTCTCTTTGTATCTTTTTTATGCCAAAACCCACTTCGCAGTGCATCAATGAAAGTTATCTGAATGTGAATAAATCTGCCCCCAAAAGGCAAAACATTTCCTGTTTTTGCTGTATTCACAATATAATTATCTGTTTTCACAGCGTGTACTGAGTAAAAAACAAAAAAATTGGACACTTTTAGTGAATTAACAGGAATGTACCGTTTTTTAATGACTAGACAAATTTCAGAAAATGATCTGTCAGGACCTTTTCTGTAATTTTATTTACTTGTTTCCTGACGTGTAAGCCCAACGAGTTGTGTTGATGGATTTCTTTGATGTACTGCAGGAGTGTTTCTTTATCAACTGGACCAACTGAGACTTGTCATCAGTTTTATAAATAGACATTTATTAAATGTGTAGCTGGGCTCCAGTTTGACTCTCTGGGTTGAGAAGGGGACCCATACACCGTAGGGCTTGTGCAAAGGCCATTTACGGTGCCTTTCACCTGCTCTTTCTCCCAGGTTTTCTGTCTTTTCTTCACTGTCCTGTTACAATAAAAGCTAAAAATTAAGAAAAGAAGAAGAAAAAGTGGATTTAAACTCCTCTACGCTAAAAGAAAGCCAAATTTGCATATGGTTTTGTGGGGTATGAGGTAATACTTTTACTCATCCAGCCCACTTCAGATCAAACTAGGGGTTTATGTGGTCCATGAAATAAAAAGACTTTGTGTAATATGTAATTTGTTACTTAGCAGATTTTAAGGGGCCTGCATGCACTGCATGTGACTACTGAAACAATCTAGCTAATTTCTTCTGTTTATTTCCAGTCATTGCGGTACATCTGCTGGCTGACTAACATCATCCAACCGTGTCACTCTGCAGATGAAAGCGTCTTAGAGAGACTCATGCTTGTGACAGCATATCAGGGTGTACACATTAATGGCGTCCTGCTCGGCTGAGCTCTAATGTTAGTTAGCTGCACGCTTCCTTGGCTGGCAGCTGTAGTTCAGCAGAAAGAAAATCGTTTTCTACATTAAACTGCACACAGCACACTTTCTTTGTGCTTTATTTTGAGTAACCACAGCAGTGTCTCTCTTCAAAGATGTCTTTGAGTAAAGGCAAGTGATGTGTGTTTCCATTATGTTAAGAGACATCTCTTTATCTTCTATCTGGGCAACTTACACCAAAGTATTCAAGTAAACTTAATTTTTGCGGGTATTTTCTCTTTAATTATGGAATCATTGTTAATTTACAAGACACACTGTAAAGGTGCATGTTTTTTAATCTAATTTGAATATATATATATGTGTGTGATGAATTGTTATTATGAGTAACTTACTTCACGTGTCCTTCCACGCCCTCCCTCTGGTCAGGGCCACCCACACTCTTACCCGTTTCCAGTAAGGCCCTAATGACATTTTTTCACCTTAGTGAAAACACAGGAACTGATCTCACTGCCTGACACGCACAGTCAGCTGTGCATTTTCTAATGAGTTTATATAACAAAACACAACTGAGGTATTTCCATGCGTGCACGACGGGAAACGAGCGCCGCTCAGTCTCTGTCCTGTGTGCGCACATGCCAGCCACACTGCCAGACATAGCAGTAAGCAGCAGGTGTGTGGCTCTATATGTGTGTGTGCGCGTGCCTGCCAGGCTCGTTTACAAAGCAAATTTTAGATGATACACACACCAGCTGTCTGTGGATGAAATGTTGAAGTGGACAAAAAAACTGACCTTAA